AATAAAAAATTATACTTCAGATGTTAATTTAGTATCAAAAACGTAAAATATTTGAGTAGCCCAAGACATAGCCAAAGATTGAAGCGCCACAGCACTGGCGAAAATTTAAATTTGCCGACTGGAATTCTTTCGGATGATTGACGTTTCGGATGATTGAATTTCGGAAAATCGACGCTCTACTGTATTTTAAATTTTGTTCTCCATTTTGTCATTTTATACCTTCAATTCGGTGTTAAATTTCCTGACGACAGTCATTTAAAATGATCTAAAATATTCACAATAATTCAATATAACTGTTAATTTCTTTGCTAAAAGGTTTTCATGGTGATTATAAACATCCAATTCAAACATATTCTCAAAGGATTCAGTTTAGTCTATACTATTTATTTGAAAAAAAAAAATTATCACAAAATATAAAATTGATTGTGCATTTTTAAATAAAACTGAATTTGTTTTCATATACACAGTGATTGTAACTAAAGAGATGTTAAGAGCTTTGTAGAGAGAGACTATTGGGTATATCTCAACTAAATTGGCAGACAAACTTTCCTGCATGTACAGTTTCGATTTTAAAATAAAATTGGGTAAAATTCGGCACTGCCATTCCCTCGACGTGCATAAATTATGTACATTTTCTAACAAATTTCGAGTATAGTAGGAGTCGCAAAATGCTCTTCGCAATTCTTGTGACAGACAAACCATTATGGCATTCACTTTGCCCAATGAGCAATTCCATGTTTGTAACCGAAGTAAATTTATTGTACTCTGTTCCTTAATTCCCAAAATTCATTGTGTGTTTTGAGCTCTGTAGAAAGAATTAATGTTTAACTATAGTTACCCTTTATTTTGACAAATTTTACTTGTCCATAATTTGATTAATGCTGACAAAAAACATTTTTGAAAGTGGAACACTCTTGAACTGTTTGGTCAGTGATCTACTGCTAACAAGACTTGGTTTGAATCATAAAAACTTCTTGATTCCTATTCTAATTATCAGCCTAATCTTACAAGTTAGTGATTATTTTATATCTATTAGGCACTCTATATTTGAACAGCAGAATTAAAACTTATTATTGATTTGAAAGAAATGTCAAGTTGTTATTTTTAACTTTAAATTAATAAATTGNAAAAAATCAAAATATAATTCTAGTGTTATAACCATGGTGGCCAAACTGTGGCTCACATAGTTATACAATTTATACTTAAAAACTTGATACATACCACTTAAACATATACAATATTTTTTTAAGGTAGTGTACCTTGACAAGCAAATGAAAGCTAATGATGTATTTGTAAAATTCAAGGAGTTAAACAAATGCTTACCTAGACAGACTTTCTGATAGGTGATGTAAGGTTTCTTTTGTGACAGAGTTTGGCCACCCATTATACAGCATTTTTATAAAAAATAACATTTGAAAATATTTAATTATAAAAACATTAATATGCAATAACATAATTTTTTTTAATATATGTGTATTTGATTAATTAATAATTACTGTATTATAAGATTTTATAAACTATACTAAACAATTTTTAATTACAGAAAAAGACTATAGAACAAAAGCAACAATTAATTTTTTACCAGTAGATAGTGCAAATGCATTAATAAATAAATCAAAATATCATCATTTCTTTGATGTAGTTTATTTATCAAACAGGTACTTTTTATTTTATTACATTCTTTGCAATATTTAAAACAATTATTATTGTATAGATAGCATATTATTAACATCTTTTATACATCAATAAATTTTATTACATTATAAAGAATATTCTTCTTGCCAGTATTATTAGCAAATAAAGTAAAATATCAATTAAATTATCAATTTATTGGAATTGTTTTCTTTATTAAAGAATTGTATTGAAAATTATAATTACTGTTAAATTGTTTACTTGTCTGCTACTGCCATTGACATTCCATGCCTAAATAATATAATTGAATGGCAGGAAAGTTTTAATTTAGTTCTAAATATACAGAAGAGAATTATTATATCAAATTTAATGTTTATTTTCTGATATGAATTTTATACAAAATAGTTTTGGAACTATCTGGAATTACTTAAGCTGTAAATTCTTTAAGAGATTATGATTTTCATGTCTGCTTGAGAAAAGGCTGATTTATGATGTAAACTGATAATTTAGATAAGTTGCAATTTAATTAAATGCAATATGTTGTAATTATAGTTAAATTTCTGTTTTCCTCCTTCTTAAATAAATTTTTAAAATTCTATCATTGGCAATATTTAAAATTAACATTAACTTGTAAATTTAATGCAATTAATTTGTATTTGTGAATTATTTACAGTTCAACAAATTATTTCACACCAGAATTTCAAGAAATCTTTGCAGATAACAGTGCTATTCTTATTGAAACAATCAAGTGAGTTATTATTTTGTTATTTATAAAAGTTTGCTTTGATAACATTCATTAAAACATCATAAATCTGAGCAATCCGGACAATTTATTTTACACTAAATAATAAATATTGATTATTTTGCCTAACTTATTTACTGACTGTCTGAAAGTTTTTCTTTTATTAACCTATATAACCTCGTATTAACCTAAGCAATGAATTCAAATAAATTACTATTTTATTATAGATTTTTACAGAGGTCAATCCTTTACCTTAATATTAATATACTGTTACTTTTATAATACAATAGAGCGTCGGTTATCCGAAACGTTGTTATCCGAAGGAATTCTAGTCGACAAATTTAAATTTTTGCCAGTGCTGTGGCGCTGTAATCTTTGGCTATGTCTTCGGCTACTCAAATATTTTACGTTTTTGATACTAAATTAACTTCTGAAGTATAATTTTTTATTGTTTTTATCTTTTTCAATATATTTATTTTGTTTGTACAAAATAAAAAAATAATTTTTAATGATACAATAGTCTTCGTTAGGCTTAACATCGATGAAAATTCAACGCAAAGCGACACTCAACGGAGAAAAATTTCAACACGGGATAAATTAATATATATTTTCGTACATAATTGGTTATCCGAACAACCCCAGTCCCCAATTGATTAGGATAAACGACGCTCTACTGTAATTAAATTGTATTTGCTTTCTAACAAATCTTCTATTGTAAAAAGTTAATTACGTAAGCAATATTTAGTGTTGGTTGAGACTTTGGTTCAGAAGATGATCTTTTAATCTCTTTTTGGCAATGATTGACTATTATTAGATATATCAGGAATTATGACTTAGGTCTTAATAGACGCAGGTCTAAATTGTAGCTTAGCTTTACATCTTGTTTGTTTAATTAATCTAAATCAAGAGTTCTAGTAAGAAATGAAAGTTTAATATGTAAAATAAAGCTGTGTATGATAGTAAATTTAAAATCATTAAAAAAATTTCATCTGAAAACTACATATTTTCAGAATGATAGTAAAATGCCCATTCTAATATTTTCCTCTAATTAGGCTAACTATATATTTATGCTTGCAAATGAAGAATTTCATAATAAAATATTATGTTAACATACAATGTGATCTCAACTTACAAGTGTTGATATATGAGAATTTTATACAATGAGCTGCTTATTTTTCCTCTTTTCCTGATTTATGAAATGAAATATTTGTTGAGTGCTGACTGATATTTATGAGAACAAAATATTCTAATCATGATAGGTGATGAAGTAGAGTATATCATGTGCTATAAGATGGCTTATAAGTTTTAGTTTATATTTTCTTTATCTCATTCACATTATGTCTTTGGTGGAATAGTGCTATCTGTTCTAAGATGATTGGACAATTTAATGACCTTTAGGCCTAGTGTGTACAGGACCTTTAGACCCTGTACACACTAGGCGTTTTTCAACGCCTAGTGTGTACAGGGCCTTAATCTCTACATTACAGATCTTCTATCAGCAATTACAATTTCATTAATTTTTTGCCTACACATTTTTCTTTATTGAATAATAAGAAAACAAATGTCTGATAATTTATTTTTGCTTCCTTTATTCACTTCTCTTATTTTGTATTAGGTCATGTCACTCATATTTACCAATATAAAAGGAACTATGTTGAAATAATGATCAAATCTTGACCATAAAAAATAATGGATAATGTCTTTATTTGAGATCTTGAATATCAAGAGGGTTTCAGGAATGAGAGGCATGTTTGTAAATTATGGTTACACTGTAAAATCTTACATATTCAAAGTTACATTCAAAATATTTTCAAATTTTTGAAAGATCTAGTGTAAAATTTTTGTTCAGGCCAAAAATTTGATGTGAACTATGTAATTTCAATTAATGTGCAAGAAGATATAATCTTTTTAGTGATATGCAATAAATTATTTCAGATTTATTTTACTATTTATAAAGAAAACTTCAAATAAATACCATATTTTTTTCTAACAATGTAGCTACAAGATGAAAAAAGTTGTAGATAGCACAGTCTAATTGAGGAAAGTAAGACTTATTATAGACTAATAATAATAATAGAGGAGGAGGAAGGGCTGTCTGCTTTTGCAAACTTAGCCCACTACGAAGAGAAAGGAGTGAAAAGGTTGAAGGAAGGGTTCTGAAGGGAGAAGTATAAAGGAAAAGGGGAAAAGTAATGCTGAAAAAAGTTATTAGGACCTCAGAGTGCTGTATTGGAAATTATTAATAACCAAAATTACGAAAGTTGACAAGACCATTATACAGTGTAACTGGACCATTTCTTGTAATTGTTACTTATTATAGACTGAAAAAAATCCAGCAACAAGTTGCATAACTTTTATAACAGCCAAGAAAATAATGTTGAATAGAATTTTACATTAACATACAGTGGAGTGACAAAGTGTGTGTGTGTGTGTGTTTGTTTTGAGTGTTGCATTGATGTTCAAATAAAGTGAAAAAGTTACTTAATAATAAAAAGCATATTTGCAAGCTGAAAAAAGTTATGTACTGTTTATTAAAATAAATATTAATATAATAAGATTCTAAATAAANATAACTTTCTACGCTTGCGATACAAGTTCTTATAAAAATAATGTTTTTAATATTTCTTAATTTTTTCGAAGATAATTGGAAATCCAAATCTCCAGACAGATGCACATATACAGCTGTCATATTCCCGGAAAAAGAATTCATCATAACTTCAAATTGTTAGACACTTATCTTTCTTTTTCAAAATTTTGTTTTTAGAAACATGACATTTTAAAAATAAATATTTAAAATTTACATTTGAAATTAAAATAATATAAAACATATGATAGAAGTGATCTAATTGTTTAACGTTTTTTTGTATGTAGTTTGTTTTTATCTTTTACAGTTGCAAAATTTATGCAAATATTGTTAAGAAATGTAATAAATTAAACATTAACTTTTAATAACTGTTCAATCTATTTTTAATCCTATAAACATAGCATATAACATCTAATAATTTTTTAATTAATAAAAATCTATGCTTGTTTATATATAAGTCTGTAGCCAAGTGATTAAGGAATTATCCTACTGCTATAGAGGAGTTTTTGTGGGTGGTCTGTCCTAGATATGTTGAATGCTGCCCCTGCAGGACTGGGAAAAAGGCACTCTAATGCCTGCAGAGAAGAAGATATAATAAATTTTAAAAATACTCTTAAGATGAAAAACAAAACTATTATCCATATCTGTTCAAAAATTTATCAATGGAGGTTCAAAGTTCAAAAAAATTTTGAGAAATACGGTGTCCTGAAAAGTGGTATCTCTCACTTCAAATTTAATTAATTCCAGAAGACTGTTCGAATTTGAATAATTCAAAATAATGGAAAGCGAGTTCCCAGACCCCAAAACAATACCAATTTCAATAAATTTAAAATGGCAAATACACAGAATTTAAGATAAAGATAACATAATTAAATGCCTTAATAATAATAATTTAAAACACAAAAACAATAAATAAAATACATAAATAATACATAATAAAATGAAAATTACATTTACTGGTCGACTTTGGTATCTTAAACATGGCAGCCAAATCTGCCACAACTGTACCAGTTTTATGTTCTTCAAACAGAAAATAATTATTTTCTATTACTAATCATACATAAATTAATTAATCATTGTGGAGCATTTGCTGTTTTTAAGGAATTTTTAATATCAACTCTAGTTATTCAGATTAAAAAATGAAAATATATCTAAAAACATTAATTTTTTTTATAACCATTAAAAATATAAAATTAATATATTTAACAATTCAACATTTTAAAAATTTCTCCAAAATGTAGTATATATAATAAGTATAGACTTAATAGATGTTAATTAACTGGGTCTTTATTAAATATTATATAAAATTAAATATTAATTCTTTTTACCTCTATGACTGGAAAGTTTTTACATATTGCCTTTACTTATTCAACCTAATATTTTTAACAGTTGTTGCTACTTCACATAAATTTGTGATTTAATTATAACAGTTGTGAATTTTACATTATTGCTAATTTGAGATTATATTCTTTGTCTGGAAGCTTATTTTACGATTAAAGTGCATTTTTTGTTGCGTGTAGTTCGAAATTCAAAGCAAATTTTTGTCGAATTTGGCATCTGAAGTAAGAGGTACCACCATATGTTTGTTTATAAAACAAAGTACTTTTGCACTCGAGCTTTGTCAGAATATTTAAAAAAACAACAGAACTTGATTACATAGCCCCAAGTTTTGATACTGATTTACTTACTTATTACATGTACTATACTGTACATTTAGTTTGTTTTATGAAATCAAATTCTTTTTTTTTTTTTTGTAAAGGTTCCAATAAAGTGCAAGCATACCAAGCAAAAGAACTCATGTTTCATTTTAAAGTTGTGTATTTTCGGTAATGTACAACTAATTTAGGAAACTTAGTCTCATTTTAACCCAAAGCTTATTTTTCAATTTTAGTTTAGGTTTATTAACAATGTCAAAAATCACCATCTACTCATAATAATGATTTTGTGTGTTTCTGGATGTGAACATTTTGACGTAGTGCATCATTGGTCTACGAGTTTTCCGACAATAATGAAACATCAAAGTTATCTAGTGACTGCTCTTTTAATTCTTGCAGTTTTAGATGATGGCATAAAAACTGATGAAATTCCTCCCCCAATATCACAAAAGTGAAAATCCTCTCCAATTCCAAATGAGACAAAGAAGCAATGGAACAAATGTGTGTGTGTCATTGGATTTATGACAAGATTTTTGTGTGTTCAAACAGTGCTAACTGTTTAATATGAAATATTACATTATAAAGCAAATAACAAAATTACTACTTATGTATTTCTGTATAAACTGATGGGTTCTTGATCTTACATTTTATGGAAAAGGTGGATTTTTGGGCGATATTGCAAATAATGTTGATGCAATCATAAAAATATTTTAAACAAATAATTTTCAAAAACTTTTTGCAAACAAAAAAACCTGTACAGTACTTTTCTTTGACCTTCCAGTTTCCAATGTACCATACATGCCAGTTGTCATAATTAATCATTCGATGTTGTTAGTGTACAAAGTGCAGACTCTGGAAGAATTTGACATTTTAACCCAGGGTGAATATCTTTATGACTTGTACAATCACCTACAATAACACCATTGATATCAAAACCATTGGTCACAATGGTTTTGATATGAATGGTTTATATTGAAAAAGCACCCCGACTAAGTCACAAGGCCAAGGAAATTTTTTTTTTTTATTATTACAGTAGAGCGTCGATTTTCCGAATCAATTGGGGACTGGGGTTGTCCGGATAACTGATTTACGTACGAAAAAATAGTTTAACGTATCCGATGTCTAAATTTTTATCCATTGCGTGTCGCTTCGCATTGAATTTTCGTTGATGTTAAGCCTAACAAAGACTATTGTATTGTTAAAAATTATTTTTTATTTTGTACAAACAAACTAAAT